ACACTCGAAAACAAAGAAAAACTAGACCTGGTCAATCATATCGCCACATAAACTCCCCCACACTGAAAATCAGACAATGTCCCCATTGTCGATCCACAGTGAAAGGGAGGTTGTACTGACAAAATCAACCGACAAGACACAATAAAGAGAAAGTACAAAAGAGAAACAAAATAAAGAGAAAAGAAAAAGGAAAGCTAACCAACACAGTGACAAGTCACTGTGGTCCATGAGGAGGAGAAGGAGGAGGTGGATAGGGTTGGCCGGTGCCGAAGCTCCACTGTGTGTAACGCTCGTCCCACCGGTTCTGCCACAGCTCAATAGCCTGAAAGCGGGCATTAATATCCCGCATGTCACGATCGTAGCGGTCCTCGTAAGCCGTCCACCACGGAGGAGGCTGGGACCACCAAGCGGGTGGTGCAGAAGGCTCCGCTGGGCGCGGAGGCGAACGTGTGGGCCGTGGCTCCCAAGAATCAGCCTCTGGGGTCGGGTGCCAATCATCAGGAGGCGGAAGGCGATGGTCCTCGTCGATAAGAGCCTGATCGTGCTCCATCGCCTCCGTCTCGTGGGTATCCTCGGTCTCCTGCCGAGGACGAGACGAACCTGCTTCAGCCGCGGAGGCGGCCTCGGCCACCTTCTTCATGTAGGTGATGTAGGCCGGGCGCTTCTCATAGATCTCAAAGGCGCGGCGATTAAGGAGGAGGCCCGCATGACTGAGCTCGTAATAGTCAATGAAACGCATACGCGAAGGAAGGCTGCCAGACGCCTCCGGGTCAACCCCGAAGTGCAAAGCCAAAGTGGTCACTATATGACCAAAGCAGGCAGCCGCTCTCTTGTTCCGGATGATGGCCCGGCACTCCTCCTTAAAAATATGCAACACATCGCGCGGCTTCCTCTCGAGCATAGCCCACAGCAGGGCGAGGTCAATCTGAGTGACTTTATTGGCCTCCTTCTTCCCGAACACACCGTAGCACAGAAATTTGTGCATCACGGCGACAACACCATCCTTGATGAGGCTGTTGAGCAGGCCCTGCGAGTCCCACGCCGTGGCTGGAGAAAGTCGGGGCCAGAAAACATCAGGCGACATCCCCTGATTGATCCTAGCACCGCCACGGGGGAGGCCCACGACGCCTTTCAAGATGGCGGCAGTGATGATCCTCTCCGTCCCAAGTAGACGGCACGTTATGTAGTCCTCGGTCGACGGCATCTCGAGGGTACTGAAAAACTCGAGTGTGAGGTTGCGGTACGTCGGGTGGACCAAACGGGCATAAGCCTTCAATCACAGCGCGTCAAGGTAGGACTCGACGGTCCCGAGAATCCCGAGATCGGAGAGCAAGGCGAAGTCGAACATCTTCGAGTGCAAAACGTCCTTCTTCGCGAGCCGGGCATAAACCTCCCCTTCTCGTTCCAAGAGAATAAGAAAGGGAGCGTCGTAATCGGCCCGTAAATTGACCGGCTCGTCCCGAGAGGTAGAGGATTCCCCGACGATTTTCTTACGCTTAGTACCGGCCCCTTTTCGCACCATTGCAAATATGTAGTTCACTTAGGCACAGGATCGAACACGTGGTAGGCACAAATCGGAACTCAGAAGCAAACAACAACGGTAGAACCTGAAGTAACTCCAACCCAAACAACGTGGTCACAACAACCCAAACAACTGAATTGCAGCTCAATGATGCGCTAACCAACCAAAACAACTCAAGTAGCTACAAAATAGTAAAAAGGACGATTACCGGCTGTGACTCCCGAGTATGCGGCGAAAGTGTGGAGTAAGAAGTGGACAGTGGTGGTCAGAGGAGTCGAACGCCGGCGAGCTGGTAGACGTAGGTGTGATGGCGCGGGTCAAGGATGAGCAGCCGACGGTGGTGGCAAGCCAAAATCTTGTGGAGGCCGGAAATCGGAGGAGACGGCAAGTGCTGCGAGTTGCTGGACGGAGAAATGGAGATAAGGTAACGCTGATGGAGGGTCGCTGGGAATTGAAGACCCGCCGTGAATTGAAAACTCGCCGTGAATTGAAGACTCGCCGGAGACGGAGAGTCGAGGTACTGGTGGTGGTCGGCTGCGCGATTTGGAGATCGAAATCGGCGAAGGGGCTAGGGCACGGAGCGCATGAGGTCGGAGCAGGGAAGAGAACGCCGGAATTAAGCCGGGCGGAGGTCGCAATCGACGAAAAGGGAACTAGGGTTCCCGAAATCGCGTGGAGAGAGAAACTGCGCGAGGTGAGGCGCCTGGGTTCGTCGCCGGCGGAAGAGAAGTCGCCGGAGGAAAAGAGAACGGAGCGCCGGTGGTGGGTGGCCAGAGGTGCGAGCAGTGGAGGTGAAGGGTTTGAATCGCGAAGGCGTGCTGTATCGCGAGTGATGGAAAGAGTGTCTGGAAAAAGAAAAGAAAGTCCGTCAAATTAAAAAGCACGGGTAAGTCGCGACTCGCGACAGATCTCGCGAGTCGCGAGAAAAACTGCAAGCGACAGCCGTGAGGGTGGGGATACTCGCGACTCGCGACAAACCCGCGAGTCGCGACAAACCCGCGAGTCGCGACTTTTATATCGCGAGACGCGAGATTATGTCGCGAGTCGCGAAAATAACTGGGATCGATGACCCATTGACAGGGGTAACTCGCGACTCGCGACTTGTCTCGCGAGTCGCGAAAAAGCGACTTTTTTTTTTAATATATATATATATAGATACACACAATACAATAAGCGCTCGGTTTTAAGCGGGGAGCTCGGCATTAATGCCTTAGATCAAGGATACGCTGGGTCGCCGAGACTGATGGTCTCGACATGGTACTTCCCGAACTCCCCGTCAAAATATGGCTCCACTCGCTGACCGTTAACCACAAATAACTCGCCATTAGTTAGATTGCGAAGTCTGACGGCTCCGAAACTTAGCACCCCATCAATAACATATGGGCCACTCCACCGGGACTTCAGTTTTCCCGGAAAAAGTCAGAGTCGGGAATTGTACAGAAGAACACGCATGCCCGGTACCAGCTCTTTTCTAACAATATGGGCATCATGAAGTCTCTTCACCTTGTCTTTATAGATCTTGGCATTCTCATATGCTTCGTTCCTTCTTTCTTCTAACTCCGATAGTTGCAACAGTCTGGCTTTTCCGGCTGTATCAAGATCAAGGTTCGTCTTCTTAATGGCCCACAAGGCTTTTTGCTCAATCTCCACTAGTAAGTGACAAGACTTCCCATAGATGAGTCTGAAAGGGCTCATTCCCAAGACGCCTTTGTATGTTGTTCGTTGGGCCCACAAGGCGTCGTCGAGCCGGCTCGACCAATCCTTCCTTGATGAGTTGACCGTCTTCTCTTGTTGCTTATCTCCGCCTGGCCCGAGGTTTGTGGGTGATAGGGGGTAGCCACCTTATGTGATATACAGTACTTCTTCATCAGCTTCTCGAAAAGCTTGTTGCAAAAGTGCTTCCCTCCATCACTCAATGTTGCTCTTGGGAACCCAAACCTACTCAATATATACCCTTGCACAAACTTGATCACGATATTAGCATCACATGTCTTTGTGGGGATAGCCTCAACCCACTTTGACACGTAATCTACGGCAAGTAAAATGTACTCGTAGACATTAGACTTAGGAAAGGGTCCCATAAAATCAATGCCCCAGACATCAAAAATTTTGACTTGAAGGTTATTAGTCAAGGGCATCTCATTTCGACGACCTATATTCCCAGTTCTTTAGCATTTATCACAAGAACGGCAAAAGGTATGAGCATCTTTAAAAAGGGTAGGCCAAAACAAACCTGACTGTAGAACCTTAAAGGCGGTCTTCTGGCCGCCAAAGTGGCCACCACAATGAAACTCGTGACAGAATGTGAGGACATCGACTTGCTCCTCTTCTGGTACACATCTCCTCAGCACCTCATCCTTGCCCATTTTGAAAAGGAACGGCTCATCCCAGAAGTAGTCCCTACACACAGAAACAAAACGCTTTCTCTCTTGGGAAGAGAGGTCAGGACGCAGTTTTCCACAACATAAGTAATTCACAATGTCGGCATACCAAGCACTTTTCGACACTTCATGCGCATGCTCATAAGGAAAATTATCATTAATAGAATGATGCACAATCAATGAAGATGATGAGTTAGATGGGACTATGCGTGACAAGTGATCAGCAACTACATTCTCAGAACCTTTCCTATCTCTAATGTCAACATCGAACTCTTGCAGTAACAAGATCCACCGGATGAGCCTTGCTTTGGAATGAGTTTTTCTCAAAAGGTACTTCAAAGCCGTATGGTCTGAGTGAATAATTACCTTAGATCCCAAAATATAAGATCTAAATTTTTCTAGTGAAAACACCACGGCTAGAAGTTCCTTCTCGGTGGTAGTATAATTCTGTTGGGCCCCATTAAGAGTCAAACTAGCATAATAAATCACTCTAAGCAACTTATCAACTCGTTGACCCGAAACGGTGCCCACTGCAAGGTTAGATGCATCACACATGATTTCAAAAGGAAGAGACCAATCAGGGGCAACAACAATAGGGGCACTCACAAGCTTGCTCTTTAGTTCATTAAAAGCACTTAAACAAGCATCATAAAAAATAAATGGCACATCCTGAGCAAGTAAGTGACATAAAGGTTGACTGATTTTCGAAAAGTCTTTAATGAAACGCCTATAAAACCCCGCATGCCCCAAGAAACTTCTAATCCCCTTAACATTCACAGGAGGGGGAAGTTTTTCAATAACATCTACCTTAGCCTTGTCTACCTCCATCCCCCTACTAGAAACAACATGGCCTAAAACAACGCCACTCCTAACCATGAAATGACTTTTCTCCCAACTCAGAGTTAAATTAGACTCAATGCAACGTTCAAGGACACGAGATAAATTATGGAGACAATGAGAAAATGAATCACCAAAGATAGAGAAGTCATCCATAAATACCTGCAGGCAGTCCTCAAGCATATCCGAGAAGATGGAGAACATGCACTTCTGAAATGTACCCAGTGCATTGCATAGGCCAAAGGGCATCCGTCTGAATGCTAAAGTGCCAAAGGGGCACGTGTCTTGGGCTGATCTTCAAGTGCAATGGCCACTTGGTAGTAGCCGGAAAGTCCATCCAAAAAGCAGTATAACTGATGGCCCGAAAGACGATCAAGGATCTGGTCAATAAACGGCAACGGAAAATGATCCTTCTTCGTCACCGCATTCAGTCGCTGATAATCAATACACATGCGCCACCCAGTAGTGATGCGGGTGGGAACCAACTCCTTCTTGTCATTCTCGATCACGGTTATGCCTCCCTTCTTCGGCACCACATGAATAGGGCTAACCCACTCACTACTCGCCACTGGATAGATCAATCCTTCAGAGAAAAGTTTCAGCACCTCCTTCTTCACTACCTCCATCATATTCGGGTTTAGCCGTCGCTGGCTATCCCGAAACGGCTTGGCTCCCTCTTCCAAGATAATCCAGTGCATGCATGTAGATGGACTGATCCCTTTTATGTCTCCCAGACTCCACCCGATTGCTTCCTGGTTCTTCCGGAGCATAGCAATCAGCTCTTCTTCTTCCTCACGGTCAAGCTCAGCAAAGATGATCACCGGTTTCTGTTGGGCATCATCCAAGAAGACATACTTAAGGTGCTTGGGCAGCTCCTTAAGCTCGAGTGTGGCCTCAGCTCGGGAATGACCATCTCCTACTTCAAAAAGCTCCACTGTAGGTTCTACCTCTTCCCCGAAAACTGGCAACGACACTTCCTCGAACTCGTGAATGACCATCTCATCAACAAATGGGTCGGTTAGGTCAACGAAAGCACATTCTTCGACAAAATTCACCGAGGAGGCAGACATGGCTCCTCGAACAGAAATGGACACCGTTTCCTCCAAAACAGTCATATTCAGGGTCCCATTCTTCACATCAATAAGGGTGTTCGTAGTCGCCATGAAAGGTCTTCCGAGAAGGATGGTGTGATCCTTCCCATTCTCATGAACATCTCCCACGTCTAAAACAACGAAATCGACTGGAATAATAAGCTTGCCCACCTTCACGAGAACATCTTCGACTATTCCCTTCGGATACCGTATGGAACGGTCCGCCAACTGGAGGCACATGCGGGTCGGTCTCAACTCCCCAAGACCGAGCCTCTGAAAAATCGAGAAGGGCATGAGATTTATTCCGGCTCCAAGGTCAAGCATCTCCGAAGCTACCTTCCCGTTCCCCAAGGCTATCTGGATAATGAAATCACCGGGGTCACGTTCTTTCTTGGGCAAGTCGTGCTGCATGGCACTTGCCGCCTCATACACCACCACCTTCTCTCCATCCTCAAACTTCCTCTTCTTGGTCACCAAGTCCTTGAAGAACTTACCATATGATGGCATATTCTTAATCACGTCAAGAAGTGGCAAGTTGACATTCACTTTGGAGAGCATGCTGAAAAGATCCCGGAACTGCTTCTCGTTCCTGAGTCGGTCCGGAAAGGGAATGCGTGGCTTGTAAGGGTTTGGAGACTTGTGTAACAAAGGACTCTCTGTTGGTTTTCCCGAGTCGGTTCCTATGCCCTTCGTACTCTCCTCGGTCTCTTTGGGCTGGTCGGTTGGTTTGGGGTCATCAGGCTCGGGCATTCTCACTTTGTTGTCCACTTCCTTCCCGCTCCTCAACATTGTTATCGCCTTTGCTTGCTCGGGCTGGCTCGGAAGTTTTCCTTGTCTGACTCAGCCTCCATGTTCCCGACTCTCGTGGCAAGCTGACCCACCTGCGTCTCGAGACGCTTAATAGATGAGTCCTGGTTGGTGATAAACTGAAGGATCTTGTCCAGCTTGTCATCTTGATTTGACGAGCTTGAACCAGACCCTTGGGGTTGCTGTTGTTGTTGGTAGCTCGGACGGGGGATGAAGTTGGGACGGGTTTGCTGTCGCATGAAGTTTGGACGGGGCTGCTGTTGGTTGAAGTTTGGACGAGGTGGCTGGAGGGTGTTGTTGTTGTTGGACCACGAGAAATGTGGGTGATTTCTCCACCCGGGATTGTACGTGTTGGAAAAGGGGTCATTGGGCTGCCGGTTTTGATAACCTTGGAGGGCATTGACATCTGTATATTGTTCTCCTACCTCCTGGTCAAACGCCGATGGGCACACCTCGGATCTATGCCCCTGAACTCCACATGCCCCGCATGTGTCTACTGCCATGGTGTGCACTGACTGGCCTCCTCGTGCATTCATTAGCCGCATTTGCTCTGTGAGTTCGGCTATTTGATGGGCCATCATATCTTGAGCAGAAGATACCTCGTTGACCACAACCCTTTTCCCTCGATTGCTCTTTTGAGACGAGTTAGCACTCATCGTCTCAAAGATCTCATACATCTCTTTGGCCGTCTTTGCACCGATGTCTCCCCCCGCAGTGTTGTCAACCATATATTGCAAATTCTGGTTGAGGGAGTCGTAGAAGCAATTCATCAGTAATCCCGATGAAAGATTGTGGTGGGGACACTGCCGCTGGAGATCCTTGAATCGCTCCCAGGCCTCGTGAAGAGGCTCACTCGGTAGTTGGGCAAACGAGACGATCTGTGACCGGAGCTCCTGAGTCTTCTGATGGGAGTAGTACCTCCCAATGAACTTCGTGTAAACCTCGGTCCAGGTAGTCAGAGATGCCGGTGCAAGTGTCATGAACCAAGCCTTGGCCCGGTCTTTCAATGTCTCGGGGAAGCACCTCATCTTCAACTGATCCTCATTCAGCCCGTTCAGGGGGGAAGGTGTTGAGGACATTGTAGAATTCTCGGATGAAGTTAAGCGGGTCTTCGCTCGGGAGCCCATGGAATGCCGGCAGCTGGTTGTAGTGAATCATTTTTAGCTCATAATTCCGTGCGGGTTCTGGTAAACGGATACACGAAGTGACTGGCCCGATAACCGGCTGGGCTAAGGTTCGGAGGGTGTTACGAGGCGGTTGTTGCTGTTGTTCATCCATGTTGACGTTACTGCCTTCTGACGATTTCGGGGAGTGCTCGTCTCCTTCGTTAGATTCGAGAGTGAGCTCTTCCAGCAGCTCCCTCAGGCTCTCGTTGACTGATTTGTTGATCGGAGATAGCAATTTGCGTCCACTCCTGGTACGCATACACTAAGACCAACAATGGTTACGAGCACCAATGATAAAAACAAAATAAAAACAAAATAAAACAAGAACTAACACCTAACAAATAAAAAGAAATCAAGAGAAACACGGAAACAAGAAAAATCACAAGAAATAAGAGAAACACTAAAAACAAGATGAATAGACGCACAAAATAAGTCCTAAACCTTCCCCGGCAACGGCGCCAATTTTGTTGTAGTAATTTTCCGGAGTAGAATCGAAAGATTCGTCCCCGGGTCGTATCGCAAGGAAGGTTATCCGGATATTCTTGTGCGTATATTCAGTCACGAAAAATAAAAGAAAAATTCCTAAACACTCTATTTCAATATTTGGGGATTCAATTACCAACTACTGATGCAAACTAAATTAAATGAAGGCAAATAGCTAATGAGTTTACTGATTAAATAAAGTGCTAGGGAATCGGGGATAATTGCTTTCGGTTCTAACACAATCACCGGCAATCGATTGCTTGGTTAAAGGTCTTGATTCGTTTCACGTTCAGAGGTTCACTCTCAATAACCCTTCGTAACAAGAGAGTGAATGTGAACGATCAACTACCAATTCCTACAACACATAGATTATACGCTTCCGAACAAATCTATTCTAAACGAGCCTAATTCTACCAACGTCTCCCCTCTCGGTTCTACACGTTGATTATCTAGGTTAGAAAGGTGATCAATCTACTAACCCTATGATTCACACAACTCGAATAGACATGAACAATCAAAAGCATTCAATTATAATGAACCTAATCAATCATCCCCTATCCCTAGCGAATGGATTTAGCTACTCATATGAAATTCAACATCAACATTCAAATTAACCCAAGCCATCATCATCAACAAGCAATTGAGAAAAAGAACTTACGATTAATATAGAGAATCCAACGTCAAATCCAAGTGCATCCAAATCCAAAGCAAGAAATAGGAGTTGTCAATCTCCCAAAACAATTCAAAAGTGCGAAGGAAAGAAGAGGAATGGTTTTTTCTCCAGAGGGAACGTAAAAATAATGTTGGAATGGTGAATTCTAAACCTAGGATAAAAAACAGCATTAAAAATCCCGCTCCTCGAAAAACGCGTCGATTAAGTCGCGAGTCGCGAGATGGTCTTGTCTTAGGTCGCGAGTCGCGCGTCGTCATTTTTTTATTACTCTGGGGTTGGTCGCGACTCGTCTTCGCAGCTGCCTTTAAGCCCCAGTTTTTCTCGCGGGTCGCGGCAAGTTCGCGAGTCGCCTCGCGAGTCGCGAGAATTCCTGGGCGCGTTTTCTGTCCGTCTTATTAGTCCTCTTCGTCGTCTTCTGGGCTCGGCCACGGGAATTCTCGATATCGCAGTCTCGGCACACGCAATCCTAACCTCAACCGGCACCACCTACCTCCTGAAAACACAAACACGGAAAAACACGAAGTAAAACACGGCAAAAAGATACAAAAATATAAACTAAAGGCAAAAACACAAAACGAATGAAATGGACCAAATAAGCGACGAAAAACCTACAAATGGGGGAAAACAAAAAGAAAATAAATATGAAATAAAGACACAAAAACGGGACAAACAGATTCTTTGACTATTGTTGGAACCCGGTTTGGGTGAATGTTGAACTTTTGGAACCCGTTTTGAGAATTGGTATTATATTGATGATTGATGTTAAAAATGAGTAACGCCATAAATATGTTTGGAATAAATGTTGAAAAATTTAATCTGATGTTTCTGAAAGTTCAGAATTTCTTTAAAATCAAAGTGAGGCGTTACGTCGCCGTTTCTCAATTTGCTCTTCGCCCCCAATTTCAACCGAAACCCTCCTCGCCGTTTCTCAATTTGCTGCCTTCCACTTAGCTTCTGGGCCGACGGCAGTCGTCCCCTAGCCGATCGGCCCTTTCCCGTCGCTGCGACCTCCCTCGACTGAATGTGCAATTAACAGGTTGTCCGCCCAAATCCACGTCATCTATCCGGTGCTGGTTGTGTCGCTTGGTCTTGTGCTATGGCGAGGGCTGGGCCTGTTTTACCGGTGATGAGGCTCGGTGATGGTGCGGTTCAAAGCGTGGCTCCGCGGCGCGGCTCTGTCGCTGTCTCTCGGGAGACTTCCACCATGGAGCTGCGGTGGGTTTTGGTTGAGGGGAGGTTCTACGGGAAAGGGACGGGTGCAGCTCCGGCGGCTTGCGACTTCGGGCCGAAGTGGCTATGGCTGCTTCTTCAGATCGGTTCCCTCTTCCGGTTCTCTGGCGCAGGGCCCAGGGATGCTTGCTGCTTGGGTCCGAGTTGCTAGTGGTGTTAGTTGGCTCGGCTCAGTGGTGACTGGGTATCCTCTCTGGCGCGGGGAATTGGAGTGTTTGCTGTTGGTATCGAGTTGCTAGTGGTGTTAGTCGGCTAGATACTGTGGCGGTTGGGTGCCTTCTGGAGTTTTTCGGCTCGGGGTGAATTGGTTTTTTTGGGGATTTTCTGATGCTTGGGATTCGGCTCAGCTAGGCGGTTTGGCAGTGGAGGGGTCGGCCTTCTCAGGCTAGGGATTCCTCTGAAGTCGATTTGGTGCTTGCTGGTCTGTCTCGGATTTGCTACTGTGGAAGGGCTTGAGTGTTTTTTATGTTTAGTTATTTAGTTTTTCTGTGGGTTACTTGTGTTTGTTTGTGTTGTTTTGTTTCCTGTGTTTTGGGTTTGGGCCGTTTGGCTCCAGTGAGCCTGAGTGTCAAAATTGATTCTCCTGTTGGGAGCAGACACTCGGGTATTATCCTGTTGGGATCCTTGTAGTTTTTCGTTGTGTTTTGTGGTGTTAGGTGTCTAGTGAGTCTTTGATTTGGGTTTCTAGCGTTGCTAGAGTCGGGATTCTAGGCGGTCGTCAGACCTGTCCTCCCATTTTATTCAGTTTTTAGCTGCTCTTTCTTCTCCCGTTGGGAGCCTTGTAATTTTATTTGCACTTTTGTGCGTTTTGAGTTGTAATAGTTCTTCTATCGTTCCGACCAAAAAAAAAAGTGAGGCGTTACAATAAGTTTGATATATATACTTATTATTCACATATCTTTTTAAATATATGATGAATTTTACCAAAATAATTATTTTATGGAATCTTGTTTTAGTTAAATCAAATTTCTGAATAAAAATTTTGAAATGACTCATATTTTGAAACGAATGTAATGTAATTCATTATCAGTTATGTGCAACATGCGGGTTGTGTACTAATTTTAAGTAGACATTATTATGTAATTTTGTACCATTTAAATTTTCTATAATAATTTTAATAAATTAATAGGTACATTGTATTACATATTGATTCCATGTTTTTAATTTATAATATTATTTAATAAAAAATTTTAATTTATAAGTATTAATGAATATCGCTTACCCATGCATCTCACATGATTTGTACTAGCATATATAAAAAGATTTTTAAATAGTAACTTTTTCCCTCCAAAAAATCTATTTAATATTTCGGGAAATTAAATGAACAATTTATGGTATATTTCAAATAATCACTTATAGAAATTGCGGCTTATTATTTAAGGAAATGATTA